CCGCACAATGCGCTGAAACAACAGTTCCTTCTGTGGTTGTTATGATCCAGAGTGCACGTAGGGGTCATTCATAATTTCTTTGCGAATGCCTTACTTTAGCGAGAACAACAAATTTATCTTGGATTATTTGGCCAAGAACACTTGTAACAAAACCAGAAACCATTTGATTGAAGGCAAATAGGCTTCAGAAATCCTTGAATTGATCGTTAGTGTAGAAGCTGGTCTCGAGCACAAGATATGACAAAATATCACAAGCTTCGACAGGAGGAAGGCATTCCGAAGTATATTTCTGCACCGGAACGAGCAAATGATCCATGCCGATCACTGGGATCTTTTCGACATACCTTTCCTTAATACTGCCTTCCAGTGAATTGGCATAAGCGGAAAATATAAGCTTGGAATCCACAATCGCTTTGTCCGAAGACGCATATTTTCCCAATTCAGTGACCGCCATCTCAAGAATCACTCCTCCAACATGGCGGCGCCTCGTTTTCGAACATTTCTATGACGTCACGCGAACAGACTAAATAGAGGCTATTCATATTCAATGACATGTAAATGACTGGCAGAGTATTCTGCAGTTATTCGAACTATGTGTACCTCTCAGCTCTTTCTTGTAGTCTCTCCAGCTTGTATAAAGCGCCTTCTTATTCCTACGAAATTTTCGCCGCCATATTTCTGACAATCTTCTCCCTCCCCAGTGCCGCTCCAACCATTCCTTCGCGTCCCTTTCATCCCCACTTCGAGGTACATTATGTGATTGGAATACTAAGAACCAATTTTGATTGGTTCTTAGTATTGGAGGACAGACACAAAGATAACGTCACCATTTACGAAATGTTGCTTCTTTATCATTTCCAAATTGCCGTGCGTCTCGTTAGTTATAGATCACAGTTGACGTCAAAATGTGGCGAGAATATCCGTGACCCACTCGGCTACACCTTGGGTGCAACTCGTTACGTTGCGGAACGAGTTAAAGGTTTAGGTGCGAACTAGTAAAAGTGAGTGTAAATATGTCATATTTGATGAGGCAAACTCGTCAACTGGAACGAACCAATAAAGGTCGAACTTGTAAGGGGGAAAGCCTCCAGATACCTTGTATACTGACGAGGCCTCAGAACACGGGATAAAAAGTTATCGAGCCAGTGCCAGAATTTTCAGGGGTAATGATAGACTTGCAAAATTCTTAACAATTTTATTCTTTCTTTCTATTTATAATTATGTTAGTACCCTTACATCCTTAACTCAACATTTTTTCGTCAAACTATCTCCTCTTTAAACCATAATTGCATCAAATATCTGGAGATTATAAACCTAAGCATATACGACACAGAGGAATGGCGATTTTTATGCGCTGATTGGCTAGTTTGGACATAATCAGCACATATGAATATACACTAAAACAACGTTGAAGACGTGCCCTGATTGGTTACTCAAACTCTGAATATCTTTTGCTATACACCTCCGAGCGACACGTGCAGGATTTGTATCCGAAAATATTGTAAACGTTGCCGGAATAAATGTGTTGAAATCATCTCTCTCTGCTATAAAGACTGATAGTTTCGAAAGAAACTGTTTGGGGCTGCGTCGGTGGGAGTAACGAAATAATTTGGATATATCAACAAAGTTGAAATGGTAAATTGAGATAATGTATTCTTTTGAATTTTGTACTGGAGAACGAGGCCAGTAGGACTAATTTAAATTTAAACAAAAGAATATTAATCCGGCAGCCATTTATGAAAGTGGTCTATATATTCACTTCACCGTCGGTGCTTAGGTAGTCACTTCCACCTCGGTGACAGTTGTTAAATATACCTTGCACGCTTGATTAACTTGCTAAGGTCCTAAGTTAAGATCCTAAGCTCCTGCGTTAGGGGCAGGAGACGTTAAGTTAGAGGCAGGAGACGTTAATTTCCCACGCACGAGCATCCTCATTACCAGGGCCTTTTCCCTTAGCTGAGGGGTGGGAAAAGGCCCTGGGAACGAGGTTGACGCACGAGATTACTGTGTGATGGATGTCCTCCCCTGGGGTGGGATGGGTGGGTTTACTGGGCCCACAGTAATTGGCGCAAGCCGCTGTTACGGTGTTCCTGCCGGTCGGCGAAGCTATTAAATAAATTAAAAAATAAAAAGACAACTAATTTTTTTTTTTTTTTTTAACCAAAATGCAAACTGCCGGAGGCATTCAAGTTGTTAAATTACTGTCTGAGTGGTTATCAATTAAGAAACTTCTATTCTTCTTAGGTAGAACTCTTCCGCCGGATTTGCAGTCGTTTGATGCCTGACTTCCTAAAGACAGCTGCGAAATAAACTACACTCGTCAAGGATTTTCTACGAATTAAATTCGATTCCGTATCATGGCTGCCTACCAGCAGATGAAACTTTTGAGCGGATTAATGCAACAGAGGTCTTTTTTAAGACCCATTAGGCGGAAACGGGACATTCGAAAAACGCAATATTCTGGGAAGGACTAACAAACAGGTTTCAAATATCAAAAATTTTAACGCCACTTTCTCATTTCAGCGCAAACGTCGAAGTGAAATCGAAACATGTTTGAAATTTAAAACCCGTCGTTATAGTTATTTCAGTTAACACTTTTATCTTCCCTGAAATAATTTGACGCTGTTGTCCGCGTCGTAGCCTGTACGTTCAGTGAGTAGCAGTCAATTAGCTACCAGTCTGGATCATCATCATCATCATCATCATCATAGTTTATTTAATAAAGCAGGTTGAGGGATAGGCAAGACATTACGTCCTGATGTGGACCTGCATCAATTAAACTATCAATTAATAAATACCTAATTAGTGAATAGACCGAAAATGGTATGTAAATAATGACAATAATCAGTCTGAAATTAGTTCCGAGTAGGATTTCAAACGCAATTTTTCAAGTCAACAAGTTGAAAACGCCCAATTCTTTCCTCTGAAGTTCTTCTAAGCTCAATTTGTCTCAGTCATATTCCTCGCCTGGAGTTTCCTCGTAGATAGGTTCTCCCAGCCGCTTTTTCTCACAGCAACATTTGTAGCTAAAGATGCGAAAGGTCAGATGAAAAATGAACCAAAACAGCGCGTGAAATGCAAATGCAATTCCCAAAAATTCTACATTACTTGGAGAGTTTTTCCAAGGATTTGGTCCAAAAAGGACTAAGCCAGCTTGGAAAAACCAACTTCCTTGTAAGCTCACTAAATAACACTTCAAAAAAGCCACAAAGTGAAAGAACTGGTCAGAAATCGCTGCTATGAAGAAAACAAAAGCACTGAGGAACACTAAAATGTAAAGAATGACGTGCAAGCGTACGTTTAACTCATCGCGTCCATGAAGATGGAAGAAAAATAAAAATCCCTCGATCCAGAAGGCCAAGGAGAACACAAAGTAGTCAAATTTCAGAGGAAGTGGTAAAAGGTTATACCAGATCACTAGATCTACGGCACCGCTTAAGCCAAAAAAGCCGTACATGGCTGAATGCGCGTAATTATCCAAGTTCTGTTGAACGAAATTGCCATTGTGGTCGAACAGGGTCGCAGCATCGTAGAGCTCCGCTATCACACCCAGCAATGCAAAAGACACTTTTACTAGAGGCTCGACTGGGAGACGTGACAGCGTCGCACCCGGGCACACGTACCACACACGATCATCAAAGTAAGCATTGGATTCGTGAGAAGTGGAACAGCGACCTGAAACTCGGCGTCCTTGAGTGAGCTTACTTCTTTGACTCCTCCGCAGAGTATCACCTACAACCCACCACATGGAAATGATTAAAAACAACGAACCGGGTAAGAGGTGGCCAGCAAGCGAGCCCATCTTAACACTGAAAGTGATGCACGGTACAAAATTTGTCTGTGTCACTCGATCAACGCTATCTGTAGTTACAGCAAGATTAACCGATCACTCGTGATGACTGTCACCATACAAGTTTTATGTAAACAAACCTTAAACCCGGGCCTACCCCAACCTTTGTTGACTGCACGGATCCGAAGAGACAAATTCAGGCAACTTATACTTTTAAAGGAGAAGGAACATAACTCTCAACTGCAGACTGAAATTAAACAAATTTTAACTCACTTGCAATCAGTTTGAAGCGTCGATGGCACTCATCAGTCGATGTTTGAATTGTTTCACGTACAAGTGTTTGTGCTCTTCGGAGCAGCACTAAGAATGCTCGAGAAACCCGCAGGTTATGTTTGATGTGTTAAGCAGTGGAACGATTGCGTACGATTGTGAGCTGATTATTAACGAAGATAAGGGGCCGAGTCACACGATAATGGGATAGAGAATTCCAGTCACCTACAGAGACGAATAAAGTAGAAACATGAAAGAAAAAAAGAATTGTGAAGTTCTAAAAGAAATAAATAAACAATAACAACAACGGCTGTGATTGAGACGGAATATTGGCAATTAGACCGGCTTCTGCGTAAGTGTGGAATGAGTCATTCGTGACGCTTATTTTCGCTAAGTGTCAAAGCCATTTACTTCCAAAGCATCACGTCACCCTTTGGAGTAAACCAACTGGAAACCTTAGCGCTTCAACCTTTGGAACATAGTAAGCAGTCAGCATTTCTATACTCTTCTCAGTTACTGACGGTACATTCGCCGAAACATCACCTTGCAATGGAAGCGAATGAAAAGTGCCACGCAGTGCGAGAGACACACTTGGCCATGGCAAGAGCGAGCATGGATTTTGGAGCTAATGGAGTTTCGCGATGAAATGAAACGAAGGAGAGCTTTTAGCTGTCCACTGGCATCGATGATCAAGAAGTTAACTGGGTAATTAATATAAATAATTACTATAATTAAGATTTTATTTTTGCTATGGTGTTTGTAGAGCACTTAAAGTATTAGCATATAGAAACAACTTTTATTGTCACTATCAGTTTTATTTACTGCGCTGAAACGTCAAAAATGGGATTTACTCCGTTGTTGAAAGTCGCGTGTTTTAGTTAAATTCAAAGGCAAAATTCTACGTCGTCAACAAGTAGAAACTCTATTTTTTTATGCAAATAAAGAAGAGGGCCAAACATGAATCGCAAACATGATATGATCTATTTTCTTGTGTAACAAACTATTTCGCAGGAGAGAACATTTGTCAATTTTTCTCTAATCCGATTACTTTTTCTTTTTAAGGCAGTCACCGACATCCTATCCTCAAAATGTTTATTTTTTTTTCTATGAATTTGGTGGCGCTTCGGTGCATACTCTGGATCATACAAATGATCCATACTTTCTATTCAATCTAACACGAAAATTTTCAGTGAGTTAGTTTATCCCCATGGCTATAAGATTGGAGAGCATATAAATAACGCGTGCAGGCTCTGACCGACAAAGTTCAATTTCTCATCCAACCTTTTTGAGAGTAAAAGTTCTTTTAAGCTCCTATCGGAGAGACGACAGGTAAGGGTCTGATAATGTTTAATTGCAATTTTCCTTAGAGGAACTCAAGCAGTAATTAATTTTTGGTTTCTTTCAAGTTCAACGCGAGGACATTTTTCTCCTGAGACAAGATGTTTCGATATTTCTCTTCGTTCTGTCTCCAGCTGGTTCTGCTCTTGGTAAGTTTCCTCTTATGTGATGTTTTTGGCAAAGTTAATACACATTACCTAACCAGGAGAGCATTTTAAGACCTTTTTATTCAGACGCAGTCCCTCAATCAGTCAATCAAACTGTTTCGATGGTTTGTAAGAAATACTTCAAACACAAGAAAATTCACCCAAACCACTTCTTCCTTATAGTTCTAATACTTTTAAAGAAAGTGTGGGTAACAATTGTGAAAAAGTTACCTTTCATTTCTCACCCATATTTTCTAGAATAAATCCGACATTACATAGAAAATATTCTCACAGAAAATAAAACTAATTCTGTTTAAATTAACCTCCAGGGTAAAATTTGAGTGAATTAATAGACACCAATTCTATAAAGACTAATTCACTTAATCAAACTTTCACCAAAGAAATAGAAAACAGTTTCAAAGAATAGCGTTGTGATAAATATCCTTGATCTAGATCTGTGGTCTTCTGTATTAAATTTGAGTACTGTTTCCTCATTTCAGGGTCATGTCCATGGCAATTCATCAATAAGCCGAAGGTTTGAAAGAGGCGCTTATTCAAACAGTGGTCACCACTCATCAAAACTCTCAGTGAAAGACCTTGCTCTCGAGTTGGCAAAAAAGCACGTAAGTAATTTAAAATAAGCGACTTAAACCCAAAGCTCAAGGTCAACACTGACCACAAAATCATTGTGAGACTGAAAGAAAAGATAACATTTCCATTACTAAAAGTTGTGAAAAATGTTTGTTTCTATTGTTTCTTTTTTTTTTGTGCATGACAAAAATTCTAATCCTGATCTTGTCAAGATATGTAAAATCTCTTTATCAGTGTTCAAACATATGACAATCAAGAAGTATTCTGTTGTTACTATGTTACCTTTTGATGGAAAAATGAATTCAATTGACAGGAAATTTCTTCCAAAATTTCCACCAACCACCAATTGAAAACAGTGTTACTTAAGTTTGAGTCAATATTGCCTTCATTATTATTTCTACAGTTGCTTAAGATGATCCTCAATGAGCAGCATGATTTAGACAAAGTAAAAGAGAGTGTTTACATCCTGGAAAGAGGTTTGCTAATAAAAAACATTTCCTTGCTTTAAAATTGTAACAGGATTAATTCTCATTAATCTTTTAATTCAATTAAAAAGGGTTACCTTCTAAAACTTTAGTTTAAGATTAGTAAATTAATTTCAACACGATGAGGGTTCAGTGGTAGAACTGGGGTAGGTGCCTTGCCCTCCCCCCCCCCCTTTAGTTTGGGTAGTAAAATAACTGCAGAAGGAAGAAAATGCAACAGGTGTATGTACACAAAAAAAAAAAACAGCCCCCCCCTTAGCTCAAGGTTTGGATCTGCCACTGGAGTTGGGCTGTTTCATTATACAATCTAAGTGAGAGGTTAGTTATGGATGTTTCTCATGTCAACCAAACCTAAAGTGGAATAAATTTAATTAGTGAAGTCCAAAGAAAAGGAAGAAATTTTTGATGAATTAGTTAACAACTTTTTTGTTTAATGAAATTTTCCTAGACAGGTGTACAAACCTCAAATCTGTTGGAGAACCTGTCACCCACAACACCCGTTATCGATACCATGGAAATTGGATGAAAGACCCACTAGGAATCATGGGTGCTGAGACCATATTTACCATGGAACATTATTCCGGAAGAGTGATCCAAGCATTTGAAAACATGGAAAAGTTCAAGGCTGGTGTAGTTCACAAATCTTACAATCTGCCTTACTACTTTGATGGGACTGGAGCAGTAGTGTATGGACCATACCTCTACTACAACGGGTGAAACATTTCATTGTCTCTTACTTAAAGAAACTTTTGTATTTGACATTCTTAACTTATTTTGCAGTTGTTTGAATTGCAGTAACATGTTTAAAAAAATTGAAGTCTTTGTTTAGAGAGAATTCATGCTGGCCTCTTCCAAATGAGACTATCTGAAGTAACCCATGATGAATTCAAGCACAACTTGCATCTTAAGTTCAATTAAACTTGATCCTTTTCTTTCTGTCATAACAGAGCCAACTCAGGCTATATCAATAAGTATAATCTTCACACACAGAGACTAGAGGCTCAAATAAGTGTCAGCGGGTTCACAGCACGAAAGAACCGCTATATGTGGGGAGGTTATACTGGAATGGACTTAGCAGTCGATGAGCAAGGATTGTGGGCACTGTGGGGGAGTACTGGGAACAGCAAACGTCTTTATGCATCCAAAATAGATGTGGTTACAAACAGAGTTACCCAAACTTGGAGCTTGAGTACAGGTAAGCATGAAACCTTAAACTATGCACATGGATAGCTGAACAGCATCATCAAGTAAATGGTTGTTCTATGTGAAGTAATTAGAGAGTAAATATCGCATAATGATTATAACTATTCCTCAGCAAAACCATCTCCAATGAGAAAAAATATATAATTGTGTCTAATTTTTTATATAATCATGAAGTAAAAAGGATAAATAAGATTACATAAATGGAATGGTTTGTTAGTTAAGTTGCAATAAATCATATTAGACCAAGGTTAAATTTCCAAATAACAAGTCATTTAGTATTTCTCCAACGCAGAACGAATGTCCTCAATGGGAAATGCTTTTGTGGCCTGTGGAGTGATTTACTGTATTGACAGTTCCAGCGGCAAAACCACCATCAACTTTGCTTATGACACCAAGACAAGTAAACAGTGGAATCCCAACATACAGTTCATAAACCAGTATGGTACCAACTCCATGGTGGACTATAACCCCAGGGAAAGAGTGCTGTATGCTTGGGACAACAGGCATCTTGTTACCTACCCTCTCACCTTTGAGGAAAAATAGATTCATGCAAGATCTAAAAGAAAACAAACCCAAGCAATAGATGTGAAACTTCAAGATTCATTTGCTGATTTGTAGATGCACTTAGGAACAAAGGAAGTTAGCATTACAATTAACATTTTTACATATTGATTCAGCCTTTGATTCGGACACAAAACCTTACCTCAGCTGTTGGGTCATCTGATGGCTCGAGTGCAGATATTTTACCAAGGACTAATTTTCAATCATTTCAGCAGTGATTGCAAGATTTCAATCAAGAGTTTTAACCTCTGTAAAAGTGCTAATTGTAAACAAAAGTAGTGAAAAAGGAAAAGGAGTCTTACTCTATCAATTCACTATGCCTTCTGTCATTTTTTGGTTCAATTTTAAATCTGCTGTTAGTGCTTATTGCTCAGAAAATAAAATGTGGGAAAGGGGATTATAATTGTGATTGTCTTATTTATTTGAAAAATTTTTTTTATATAAAATTACTTTTTTATAAATTTATAATTATTTTAAAGACCAGTTGTCGATAATATAGTTATCAAAAATGTTCTACAACAGAGGGAGAGCCTGTTGGAAAAACCAATTTAAATTGTAATTTTGGTAGTCACCTGAAAAAAATGCAGCCCTTGACGTTTAGCAGTGTTGTGTCAGTTTCAAGTGGAGATTGTGTTCCCATATAAGAATTTAAAAATTTCCAAAAATCTTCAAGTTTTCTTCCTTTGTCCAATATTAAAGTAGCCTTAATTGACCATGCCATAAGAATGTAGTTTTGGAAAACAGATTTCCCCATTGACTTTAAATAATGTGAAGGCAGTGATAGTGGACAATTTTCTTTCCAATGAAAAGCACAAGTTTCGTTTGCATAAAAAAAGTTTTCCATTTTATGAGACATGTTCCTTCGTGACCTGAAAACTGTCTGATTAGCCTTCTGGGACCTCTTAGGCAGAATGGTTAATGGTCTTTAACAATTGATATTTTCTCAATACAGGGCTCGAATTTAATTTTTGGATCACTAAACCTTTGGGTTAGTAAACATCTTTTTTACTGGCCAAATTATAAAGTTTGGTATCCAAGCTCACAAGTTACGATATCTAAAATATTAAACATTTTGATAATAACGACTAGGACAAATTAAAGAGTAGCTGAAATTGCATGGTGACCTCAAAAATGTTGACAATTATGCACCTATTTTATTTCCCTCTCATTTACCATGATTAGTCAAGAACAGTACATCTACAGCAAATTCTCTAAAAAGAGTTAAAGTTGACTTAACAACTCGAATATATTCTAAGTATTCCTCTGAGAGTCGGGTCCACGTACTCTTTGTCCTGAGGTCTACCAATGTTTAAATAAATTATGTTAGAAAATTTTACAAACCATGTAGGTTAGTAGGACACATTTTTAGTAACCAAACGTTGAAAAGTACTAACTATTGGTTAACAGGTTACCGTTAATTTTGAGTCCTGCAATACACCCAAGGTTAAACAATTAAATACGGTAGAGGGTCGTGCATTGAGTTATGATTTTTTCAAATGCTACAAAATCTCAAGCAGTTAAATTTTGGAAGCCTAAGTTTCATTTAGTTGAAAGCTATTTTCTCTCATTTGGAACTTGATCTGGAGTCTCTGGTGTTCTGTAACATTGAGGCATCCTCACCAAAGTAGTTAATAATAACAAACTTTTAGGCAGACAATAGCACAATAATCCCCATTAATTTGTAAGATTTCATTCCTATTCTTAATCAACACAGTGCTAAAGCACCCTTCTAATTGTTTTAATTGGCATATTTCGGTATTTATAAAAACTCTTTTTCCATTGTTGGTGCAAAAATTTGGAACAGCATTCCCAAAAGCAATCGAAAACTACCAAAGCACATGTTCAAAAAAAAATTCTTAAAAGCATTACTATTGAAACTCTAGAAACTCTGGACAGTTATGCTGACACTAGCACTCTTATTTCTGAAATAAAAAAGGCATCTTAATAACAATTCAATCATAAATTATAATATTTTTCTTCCCTTTTTATCACTTTTTTTCCTCTTTTGACAAATAATGTATTCAATAACGAATTTTTTTTAAACGCCTTCAATTAGTAATTCGTGTTTGTTTGTCCTTAACACCACCCGCCTAGATTAGCTCGCTATTCGCAGACGGTGTTCATTGTAAGTAACTGTATTGGAAGACCTAATAAACTTGAACTTGAACTTGAACTTGAACTTACAGCAACTTCCATTCAAGTTGAATTCTGGACGCGAGACTTCCATGTGTCAAATCAACTGAAGCATTTTCAGCAGACCTTTCCTTCTCTCCCTTTATTTTCCCTTTCTGACCTTTAGTGCTTGAAAGACGACAGTGACATAGCAACTCAACATGATGCTCGGCATTACAAACAATTCATGTTTTATTGTGCGACTATAATGAACCAGCTACAATTGGTCCTAGTTTTTCATCTGATTGATTGACAAAGCTGCACAAGTTTCTTAGACAAGTGACGGAGCAAATAAAAGCAAACCAATGCAATCTTAGATTATTTCCCACACCCAAGTAAAGGCAATTTTCAATTGAGTGTTGAAAGCACTCCACAATTGCATTGGTCTTTCCCTACTTTGCTCTGAGATTGGTCCAGAAAACTCAGGCCAATCTCTCAGCTGCTCAGATACAAAACCAATACCAATCACATATTGGTCACCTGCATTTTTCCCCTCTTAAGAAAGTTTGGTTGGTTTTACTTTGAGTATTCCTTAGTCCTTAAAGTCATTTTTCAATTCTTTAGATAATGCCTGTTGTGATCACCATCAAAAAGGGCCATTTATGCCAAGGATGGCTTGCAGAGTTCACCTAAGACTTTACCCAGCTGAACTTATGAACAGAAAGGTTAACAGGGAGTTGAGGGTGTACAAGAAAAACTTTACTCTTAATCTCTCTAAAGGTCTGGTCAAATCACTCAACATTTTAGTGCAACATCTTACAACATTGTTGCATGCAACACCTTTGGTCAACCCTTAGCAACATGTTGCAAGATTTTGGATAGTGTTGGATCAAGTTTGAAAATGGTCACATTTGTGTTGCAGCATTTTTGCAGGGGTAGATCCAGGCTTAATTAAGTCAAGGGGGGTTCAGAGAATTGTCCGAGGGCATGCTTCCCCGGGAGATTTTGAAAATTAAGTCTTTGGAAACATGATTTCCAGCATTTTGAGGGAAAATTTAGGGAGTTCGACCGAACCACTCCAACCACCCCTGGATCCGCCCCAGTTTTTGGATGTTTCAGATAATTGCGCATGCTTGGCCCAGCTCCTTCACATCATCTCACAACACAATCCAATAATGTTGCAACACACTGCATTGAAATGTTGCATGCATTTGGCCAGGGCTTAACAGCTCAAAAACCTTCCATCAATGTTTGGAAGGTGCAGTTTGGAAGTCAGTGGCTTATTGGAGAGAAAAGGCATCTTTTAAACCAGACTGAAAATGGCGAACTTTTGTGTATGCAACACAGTGAACATTGTAGTAGAATTTAAAAAACTATTAACCAGTTCACTATATTAGGAACTATCTTCTTTACTTCTTTGTTGGGTAGTCTTATGAATTTCCCACTATTTTTCAAAAACTGTAAGGCAAGGACCGTCAAAGTGTTGAAAAAAATTATGACATTTTAGAGACTTTATATGTTGCTGCAAGGCCACATGAAGGTTAAAACAACTTGAAGACTGACCACTAAAAACATGACTTTGATAGACAGTTCTATCTATTAGCACCTGTCAGTTTATGAACATTTCTATTGGGAGAGCCAAAGTTACTGAAGGACCTTGCCGCATGGGTTATAGATACCGACCCAAAATGTATAAGACATAAAGCTCTAGTCTGTACATTAAGATGAAAAACTCTCAATGGTTCCTCAGACATTAAACAGCGTCATGTGTTCATTATACTTAGTTCTTCCTGATCTCTTTTGTCAGTCCAGTTGCTGATAACCTTTGCAAGGAAATTGTGAAATTCATCTCTTACTGTTTCTGGTTCTTCATCCAGGTTTGTCTGTATACACTTTACTCTGGACAGTACAGATGCTATGCAAAGAAACAGAAAATGGTTCCACATACAAGTATAAAATTAATAAACCAATGAGGCACCAGTTTAATCTGTGATGTTGTGCACCACTCCAAGACTGTCAAACACTGCTAGGTTGGTAATTGAAGCAATACTTAATTAAGGCAATCAACAACATTGGTATTTCACATCACTTAACTATCATATCTACAATCACTGTGTGACATTTCCAGGTATGTCTACTAGCTGGCTTACAACTCCTGGAGTTAATCCAGATTTGACATGAAACAGCAAGGAGTATTTAGGAAAATAGCTATAGGAAGGTACCTGGGTTACAGTTGGATGCTGGGTTTCCAATGTTTACAATCAAACACAATGAATATAATTATGAAATTCATATATCTGAACTGCAGTTATAGAAACGTATTTGTGCATGATCCTCACAGTAAAGAGCACTATTTAAGCAATAGTGAAAATCAGACCTGAAAAAATTCAGGCCTGTTTGGGATTTCAACCACTGTTTATAATCATAGAAGAGAGGTAAATAATGTGATTAGTTACGAGGCCAACTCACATTATCAATTCAGTTGATAATGTAAATTAGCCATCATAAAGAGACTCTAAATCTGACATCTTAAGCATTAGCTTCCTTAGAGCTAATGAAGGCCCAACAATTGAAGTGTCAGCTTTCATATCTCTTAACAGAGTCCAACTCACATTATCAATTCAGTTGATAGAACCAAACAATCTTCTAAAACCTTAGCACCGCACTTTCTTTAACCTTACTCATGTTTTGTGACATTAAGTATTTATTTTTGTTTGTGATGCAACCCACAAAGCCTCAAGGATCTTGGCCAGGCTAAATCAAAAGCCAAACTCTTCTTGAGACAAGCATAGCCTTGAAAAAGTATGTGGTTATATATTTATGCTCCTGATTTTCGACATGATCCCCTTCCCCTCTCCTTAAAAGGAAAACAATATTAAAATCAACAAAATGCTATCTTACGTATCTGTGACCTTGTGGTATCAGCAGCAGAAGGGCGACGATGAGCAAACACCATACATTGTGAATCCTTCAGTCCTTGACTTTGCACAAATTGGGTGTACCTTAAAGAAAAAAAAAACTGGTATCCATCATTATTTGAAAAATAAAACTTCTTGTTAGTTATTCTTTATTTAGCTGTATTGTTTACACCTACCCAAAAGTGCTTGAGGCAACCAGCTCTGGGTGGAGAGATGTACCACTAAGTATCACATACAAGAAGGATTAACAAAATTAACCAAACCTGGACTCAAAACCCACAAAACCCAGTCTGGATTCTCACATACTAATTATGAGATTATTGCATTTTTCTTTTAAAAAATTATATAAATTATATGCTCTAAAGTTTGCCTTACCAAGTCTCTAGTTCCTTGTCATGGCTGGACTGATCAGGATTGTAAATGATTAGAACACCATTTGTGTCCTTTTGGAAAGCTGCCCAACAGGTAGAAAACCTTAAATAAGCAAAATACTCAATTGAATATAGTGCACATTGAGTCAAAATATACTCATGTCAAACTTAGAGAGTGACAAGAGAGGATACCTGAATTAATGCTCTTTGAAAAAAACTGTTTTCAATTCTCATCAGTCTTTTTTTTTTGTATAAAACTAAATATGCATGGTTTCGATAGAAACACAATCACCCTCATATTACAAGAAAGTAGAAAAAAATTGCAGGCAATGATGGAATAGATTGATCGACAGCTAGACTTTTGTACTCCAATGTTTTCTTGCTCAACATCCAAAACACAAGTTGGGGTGAGTAAGGGCCAAGGACCTAATGGAATACTTTTATAATTGTGTGACATAAGAATAAAACCAATTGGAAAGTAATTGCAAAAGCCAGTTAGAGGAAGGAAAGTACCACTGACAAAGAACTACTGAGAACTCAAAGTAAAAGCATGCAAACAGCTTGAAGTGTGGGAAAATCCAGGACCAGGTTAGTGAGAATTAATGGGATTTCAGATTTGAAAGCTTTACATGAAGATTCAGTACCCTTTCTTTGTCTATAATTTGATGATTGGATGCCTTTAAAAGATTAGAGAAAATTATCTGAAAAAGGCTTTTGAACAAAGGAATAAACTAACACAGGTTTAAGTTAAACCTGGGTAATTAGCTCAAATCAGACTTCAAACAACCAGGCTCAGGGGTCTGTTTCTCTAAGGTCCCAGTAACTTAATGGGTCCATAAAGCTGTTCTGTTTTCATTCAAGATGGGGACATCAAAACTTTTAAAAAATAATACAAAAAAAAAAAAAAAACAGCTAAAAAAACAAAATGGAGTAGTTTGGGCACCAGAGCCTGCTTTTCTATCCTTTAAATTTTTATTTCTAAAGATGACTTCTGGTGTGTTGAGTTACCAGGACTTTTGTGAATGGGTCCCAGGTAGATAAGACACTGGGTTGGTCCAAGTTTTTATCTGATTGGTTCAGAATATTATGTAACATAACCTGCTTAATCAAATAAATGTATGTATGTATGTATGTATGTATGTATGTATGTATGTATGTATGTATGTATGTATGTATGTATGAAAGTGCGTCACATATCCTGAACCAATCAATCTCAGACATCTTTCAACACCCAACTGAAAATTCTGTAACAACCACAATGCTTGTCCTTTGTTTCTATATAATGATGTTATAAAAAGTATCCTATGTTAGGGTAAAAGACAACACTGATGTATATAGTTTTTAAATGTTACACATGGAAATTGCTAATTACAATCACTGTGAGAAAATGGTTTGCAGAAAAGCACCCTAACTTTACCCATGTTTAGGTCATGTACTTTTTAAATAATGTGCGAGCAAAAACATTTATGGTGAATTTTAAAATATTAGGGCTTACTTGTGATTTCCACTGCAATCCCACAACTCCACCTCACAATTAGCAGTTTTACCAGGAGATATTTCTATGCCACTGCTTTCAAACTCTAGTATTCTGCCCATTCAAAAGATAAAACGTATTCTTCATAAGATTGTACATAGTTAATCGATACAAGGAGAGAAATGTGGATCTATGTTTTACCAGGAAATATTTCTATGCCATTGCAATTACAAACTCTGGTATTCTTACAGTTCAAAGGAGAAATGAGTGTTTGTTAGATCGTTTTTGAACTTTCCCCTTCCAAGATCCAATCAGCAATTCTCCCTTCTTACTGCCTTAGTTTTTTGGTCAATTGGACGGGAGAATTTGCTCTTCTTCCAAAATAACGCCCTTTGGCTGAAAAGCCTGTCTATTCTCATAAGCTGTTTACAAGATAAATTAGTTTCAGGGAGAAGTAACATGGTTAACACCTCTGGGAGTTAAAAGGTAAAAAATTGAGGAACGTGGATCTATGTTTACGGTTTCCATGAAAACATGTAAACTAGCACTCAGATACCTACGACTTGGAAAATGTTTTGCTCTATGATCGACATTTACCTGACCCCTTGTGTTGGATGATACTCTCCTCCTGATGTTTCCGTAGCATCAGAAAGAAAATTCGTAATAACAGTTTTACCACTCTGCAAAATGAAAAAAAAAATGAAATATTTAGCGAGGACGACAATTATGGTACAGCTGTCGTTAAACTGAACTTAATAGATTAGGACATTTCAACCGAACATATACCAAATAGCGATCTAAAAATGTGCAATATCAACACTTCATAGTTTAAGAAAGCATTTAAAACAGAGAAAATTACCTCGCAAGGTCCCAAAACTAGAATTTTTGCTTTGAACATCCCGAGATAGACAGTCTCCTTCTTGGTTCTTCTATCTGCAAGAGTGGATAGCAGGGGATTGGGGAGAGTGAAGTCATTACGCCGACAACGCCTGGCAGAATATCGTACGCTCGCCGAAAAAAAGACATCAGGCTCCGGTTGTTCAAAGGGCGGATAGCTATCCACCGGATAAGTGTTACCAAAACGTACTGCGCTATCCACCGGATAGAGGCTTATCCAGTGTATAGCGTTATCCATCCTTCGAACAACCGGTATTATTTGGTATCCTGCATCAATTATTAACTGAAGTACTACAGTTGCGCGCTCATTTCTATGAGAGTTTGCTACCATGGTTGGGAATATTTACAATCATAAAGGCAAGAGGGATATTTTCCGAGGCTTTGAACATATGCTTTTTTTTTGCCCTACTTCAAATTAACTCTACCAAAATTTCTCTTCTACAACTTTTCAGTACTAAAACGATTTCCAAGAAACGTACTCTCGACGGATAGAGAAATCAAACGCACAATAATGGGAAGTTTGCTTGACTCCTAGCTTAACGAAGCTTTTTCACTGCTCGGGGTTCACAGGTGCAGTTCCGCATGAATTAATATTTCTCTTCATAAATATTAAACACCTAACAAAGAATTTGTTTTCGCAATGGAACGACCGGTGATGACCATACCAAATACACAATCAAAATAAACTTTAATGAGGTGTAAGGAAGTGAGAAGAAAAAAAAACACTGAAGTCCTCTTTTGATGCTCCTGTCCAATAAAATACGTAGACATATATGACATAGAAAACTCAATATAGATGTATACCTTTATAAAAAATTTATGGTTTAACAAAGAATATGCTAAAATGTTGAAAACAACTAATACAATGGATGAAAAAATCAGCGAAAATTATCTGTTTTCGATGCCACGACTGCGAAGGAGATTTTAGTTTTATGTAAGTGGATCTCTACCAAAATGGCTTCGAAAACTGATTTATGAAACAATTATTATACGATTCTACTTAGCAATTATTCCACGAGCGCGCGTTGGATATGAGATGATAGATAGCCAACGAGGCCTCGTTGGCTATAATCATATTATATCCAACAAGCGCGAGTGGAATAATTTTTTATTAAAAAAACGCTCTCAAGATATTAGACAAATCTTCTTGACTTTATTTTGTAAGAAGAAACCGGATGTTTCCATGTACAGATATGAGATTATGGTATATTGGCTCATATACCATAATGGCTAACCCAATAAAAAGTCTTAAACTGCATTATCTAATGATCCAGTTTTTAATAATTAAAGCTATAACTAACAAAATAATTTCTTGTGTCTTGGCTCATCTAATATTTTGTTCATAAATTTTCACCTGACCATCAGCCAGTCGAGTAAAATTTGGAGTAAGGTAAAACTTGATCCCATCAGCAGCACCAGGTAAAGTGACGGCTCGAACAAGCAAAATCGTCAAAAGTACATAAGGAAATGTCGCAGTGAAGTAGACAACCTGTAAAAGAAAACATTTCTGTAAAGATAGAGCTAAA